GGCACCAGGTGACAACACATAACAGGAATTGGTAATTTTTTAGCCTTATATTAGGTTTGGCAAAGATAGCCCCAAACAATTGGCATTATATAGCCAAATCCTAAAAAAAGCTACTCTCTTATATATTCTCTCTCAAACAATTAGCCCCAAACCATGTGCTCCCCCCCCCCCCCCGGCCTCGCCGCTCACTTCTCTTTTGTTCACTGCCTCCCTCCCCCTTTCTCTTCTTGTATTTCTTCTTCTATATCTTCTCTTTCGTCACATCAAAGAAAATTAGAAGCAAAAACTAAGAGAAAAATACATTTCAACTTTGTTTTACTTCTCTCTTCTTTTTTTTGGTTGGATTGAACGAGTGAGTGTGATTGAAATTGGTTGAAAATACCTAAACGAGGCTATATACAAAATTTGAGCAAGATTAGAAGTGATTTAGACTGGTTTCAGGTAAAAAATCAGACCTAAAAATCCAACTGCGACATGTGTATATCACGTTGTGTAACATGTACATCAGTATATATCACACACAGGTTTTAAGGATGTCTTTGTATATCACTTTGTATATCGTGTATACAACATAATTTGTTTATGGACGCCGTGTATATCACATTGTATATCGTATATATAACACAAATTGCCATGGATATGCATAGATACACATTATATACATGAGATATCACTGATGTACATAGAGATATACACGGAATACAATAGGGGACACATATGGAGTCGTCTTGAACTTGAGTTTTCAATCTGAAATGTGTTATCAAGTAAGGAAAATAAAAATTTAATATACTTTTTGATATACACATTATTATTATTATTATGTTATACACTGTGATATACAAATAATATAATAATTATTGTGTTATATATATTTGGATATACAGATAAAAAAACTAGAAAATAATTAAAAAATATATGGGAGTTTTTTCGGATACTACTGAAGGAAATGGAACCTAATTTCTAGGACGATGGTTGCTATGAGAGGAGAGAGGGAGAGGGTTTTAAATATATTTTTTTGCTATTTTTAAGGAAAATAATTTTGATGGGGCTTATTTTTAGGATGGTGGTTGAAACATTAGAAGAGAGAGAATAACTTTAGTCTACCATATGCCAAATCCTAAAACGTTGGCTTTTTTATGCCAATTGTTGGACCTTGTTGTCATGCCATGCCAAATCGGGGGTTTTGCATCTATACCCGACTTTGGGGTCACAATTGAACCGATACCCACTTTACAAAAAAGTTTGCAAGCGTACTCACTTTACGATCAACTTCAGACTTATCGGGTCTGAAGTGAAAAAATTATACTTCAAATGCACTTATGGCAAAATAGGTTAGAAGTGCAACCAATGGTTTCATGCACTTAAGGCTAATAAGTCTGAAGTGAAAATTTGCACTTCAGATGCACTTAAGACCAAATAGGTATGAAGTGTGACCAATGATTTTATGCACTTAAGGCCAATAAGTCTGAAGTGAAAAATTGCACTTCATATGCACTTAAGGCCAAAAGGTCTGAAGTGCAACAAACGTTTTGCTACACATAAGGTAAATAAGTCTGAAGTGAAAAATTGCACTTCAGATGTACTTAAGGCCCAAAAGGTCTGAAGTGCAACAAATGCTTTGCTACACTTAAGGCCAATAAGTCTGAAGTGAAAGTTTGCACTACATATACACTTAAGGCCAAAAGGTCTGAAGTGCAACAAATATTTTGCTACACTTAAGGCCAATTAGTTTGAAGTGAAAAATTGCACTTTAGTTGCACTTAAGGCCAAAACGTCTGAAGTGCAACCAATATTTTTATCTACTTAAGGCCAAATAGGTCTGAAGTGCAAATAGCCCAAGAACATAAATTTGTTCTTTGAATTATAACATTCCAATATACAATTTAATATCTAAATCTACTCCAAATGAGCTCAAATTTGAAGCATAACCTCCAAATATCATCAGGAACAAACCCTAGTCATCAATTTTTCAAAACAACAATAAATTTAATAAACCTATTTTGCAATTAAGAAAAAGAAGAAGAAGAAACCTTAAGCAATAGTAAAAATAAAGCGTCATAACAGCTCACCATTGTAAAATATTATAAACTATATGAAAATATGTTCACAACCACCATATAAAATTATTGCACCGGAAGAAGAAGAAGACGAAGGAGGAGGAGAAAGATGCCTAAAGTTACTTAAAAGGTGGTTATAAGTTAAAACTTTTTTAAAAAGTAAGTATAAGTTAAATGGGGCGACCAAATAGGCGCCCCTTGCAATTTTTAGTGCCAAACCCCCAACTTTTTATCACTTCAAATTTGATGGACCTAATCCATTTCAATCACAGTCGGTCTAAAGTCTATACTGCAAGGACCCAACCATCAATTCGTATTTATGGATTTTCTTTTCCAATTTTCTTTTTCATCCGTCTGTCGTCCGTATTTTCTTTTTCCCATTTGCACGCTCCTGAAATTCCCAACTCGGTTCTCCATGACATATAATAGGTTTGATGCAAATCGCCGAAGGCAAGCTCTTTATTGGAATTATTGTGTTATTTATTTATGATTTTGATGCTTGCACCTATTTGCCAGCTTACTATTCTTCTACGCCTGAGAATATAACTGTATCTAAATTCTCTTATTTTTATTTTAACCTCAGTCGCTTGAAATAAGGAAATTGAAAGACACCCATATTAATTAGTGAAAAGGGTTTGCTTTTCATCTGTTTGAGCTTTGGTATATATATTGGTGGAAGGTAGCGGGTATCTAGTGGAATAATCCAGGTGTGAGCAAGGAGGCTGATAACACTATAATAAAATTAAAAGATAAATTTGTTTTCTAATTAGGCTATTAGTATATGGTATGATATACAATAACCTTGACAGGGGTTGAAAACTTTTACTTTACATTCTTCATTTCATTATTCCATCCACTAGGGTAAGACTGCGTACAATAGACCCTTTAGTATACTTGGGTACATAGGGTACATAGCGGGAGCTTAGTGCACTAGGGTACCACTAGGGTACATAGCGGGAGCTTAGTGCACCGGGCTGCTCCTTTAGTATACTTGTACTAGAGAGACAACATGCATATTTCTAACTTTTGGATATCAACAGTGGTTCTATGCTGTAAAGGAACCTAATTTCATTCGTCTTCGGTATGTGTCTTGTTCTGATTGAGATCACAATCTTTTATGAAAATTGTTGAAATTTATTTGCATAACAGTAGTGTTTGAATATGATTTCTGCGAGCTTTTTGCAAACTTGCATAAATTATTACTCTCCCAAATTACGGTTCTATATATGTGGTAAAGTAGGTTTATCAAAACAATTATGTCTAGTAAGTGTAGCGTTTTGCGAGCCTTTTTTTGTTACAACATAATCTTTCAACAAATGGTAATGTATGTTCGAGGTTAACTTTCCTTCCTGTGATGTTTACAGCGCTGAGACTGAGAGTGTACAGAGTGACCATAGAAGAGATTCTAGTTTGTAATGGCACAGTCAGGTAGAAAAACTGAAAGGCTTTGCATAAACTGGGAACGAGCATTTGATCTTTATTTAAACGCAATCTCATGTGACAATGAGGTTTTATGGGTCCAAGCTACAAGTAAGCTTTCCAAATTGTCACAACACGCTCCTGAGGATCTATTAGCACGCACTGTTCCGATCCTTGTAGAGCTTCTTAGAAAAATACCTTCCACTGATCTGAGTCCTTCAATTCAGGAAGCCGCTGCTCAGTGCTTGAAAAGTGTTGCTTGTCAAGGGGAAGGGAGATTGGCTGTACTTATTGGTGAATCAGGTGCCATCCCTTCTATTTTGAGTTTATTAACGCATTCTGATGGGAGTTTGCGAAGGGCTTTATTGAAATGCCTGAGAAATATTGTCACATTTGCTGCTGATAATCGAATGATTGTAGCTACACATGGTGGGCTGCAAATCATTCTCAATTTGTTGAATACCTGCTCGGATGATCTAAAGCGGTACTTGCTAGAAATTTTGAGTGCATTGGCTCTTCTGAGAGAGGTTAGGAGGACCATTTTGATTTCAGGGGCCGTTGGTTTTCTTGTTGAATCTGCTAGATGTGGCAGCATGATATCTAGATGTAGAGCTGCTCAGGCAATTGGGTTGCTTGGATTGGTTAAGAGAGCAAGGCGCACGCTTGTTGACTCGGGCACATTTTCAGTGCTTTTAGAACTAGTTCAGGTTGGGGATACTTCCACCAAACTCGTAGCTGCCAATGCACTTGGCGTGATCTCATCTCATGTTGATTACATTAGACCACTTGCTAATGCTGGAGCAATTCCTTTGTATGCTGAGCTTCTGCAAGGAACTGAACCCATGGGTAAGGAGATTGCCGAGGATGTATTTTGCATTCTAGCAGTGGTAGAGGAGAATGCTGTAGCTATTGTTGAACACTTGGTTAGAATTCTTAGAGATGACAGTGTCGAAGCTAAAGCTGCATCTGCTGATGTACTGTGGGATCTCGCGGGTTACAAGCATTTGCCATCTGTTGTGCGGGATTCAGGTGCAATTCCGATTCTGGTTCAGCTGTTGGGAGACCAAAACAGCGATGTGAGGGAGAAGGTTTCTGGAGCTATCGCCCAGTTGAGTTACAATGAAGCAGATAGAGCTGCTCTTGCAAATTCTGGAGCTATTCCGCTATTAGTAGATATGTTGCAGGATGAGTCAGAGGAAATGAGAGATAATGCTGCGGAAGCTCTTGTCAATTTCTCAGAGGACCCATCACTGGGTGATAGAATATCAGATGTGTTAAATAGTCCTTCATTCCAGAATATGCAAGAAAGACTGACGCAAATTCGTGCTTCAGATGCTCATTTGGCTGCATCCCTTAGACATATGAGCTTTGAGCAATTAACTATGGAGCCTGCTCTTATCTGACTCCTGATTCTGTTACATAGTTTTTCTTGAATGTGAGTATTATCTTACTAAAGCATTATTTGATTGTTGCCTTGTCTGAAACTTGTTGGAATAGTTCAAGTATAGGTAAATAGAATTGATCTTGAAGCTAAAAGTATCACACTAAATGATCATTCATCATAAAATTTAAAGAAAGATATTGTTGACAATGAACATATAACATTCACAAATATATCTCTTTATTACACCCCATGGTTACATTTATTCTTAATGCAGCTCATTTTTCAGACTTTCTCTTCACTTGATTTCATCAACAAGCACCAAGCTGGCGTGGCCGACCTTCTTCCTCAACAAGCTGGTTATACCAGCAGCATCTACTTGTTCTCCTATTATCACCACTTCATCTTTCTTCTCACCTTCTAATGCCACCGAGTTGACTCCTACAGAAAACGAAGAGCAAATGAAGGTGGGAAATCAATAGAACCAGCGGTAGTATGTAAGTTAGAGGAAATTAGCAATACCAGTTGACATAGCAGCAATCTTCAAGGTTTTTGATTGACATTTCTTGCACTTATGCTTCACTCTTATGACAATCTTTTGCTGCAGTATTGCATGAAAATTGCTTAACTAAATAGCATTGCTGTTAAAAAAATATGTATTGAAATTGTAGGAAATTGCATTCTTACCAGCATTGCTTAATAGCGTTAAGAGTAGAAAAAGAGCTTAGCTTGGTACGCAGTTGCTACCTTTCTGTAAGATCAGGACACAATGAACAAGGATGAAGAAGCTTATATCACATAAGCTGGTATATATAGGAGCACTTCTAAGCACTGGCTTGGAAAGAGTAAATATAAAATAAAATAAAATAAATAGAACGTCATGAAGATGAAATTTGCCTACGAAGCTTTGGCCATGTTCAGCTTTGCGTGTATCGAATTCACTTCACAAGGACAGTCTGTCTGGTGGACTTTGCCTTATTAATGGCAGAATCAATCTTTCTCATTTGGTCTTCCCAAGTAATTTACGCGAAACAGATGAAATATGGACGGGTAGTCCAAATTGCAACGTGTACAATGGATTCGGGATTTAATTTGATGGATTCGACCTTTCGAGTTCTTAGCAATATTACTTATTAGGCTTTTAAAATCATGGATTCATAATATAATATGTTGTTAATGGCTTACGCAGGATTTTTCACTAAGTAATCTCGACTTATGGTCACAATTCAGCTTGTATATGGATTTGGAGTTCAAAAGCATTCATCCCATCCCAAGTTAATATTTAGTTCGTACTATTTTTCAAATAGTGTTGATAGATGGGTAAATACTTACTGGTTACTGCATTCTATATTTACCGGACTAGGAGTGGCAAACGGGCGGGGCGGGTCGGATATGGTTCTGGTCGAAACGGGTAATGAAGAAACGGATAAATTATCGGACCCAACCCATATTTAATACGGATAAAAAAACGGGTTAACCGACAGATAATATGGGTATCCATAACTTCTTGCATATGATCACTTTTGGGAGAATTCTGAGTCTTCCTAACTTGAGGAACCCCCAATTTGAGGCTTTACAAATGTAAAAGTTAGACACATTGGTTATCCATTTTCTAAATGGATAATATGAGTCTTATCCATATTTGGCCCGTTTTTAAAAAGTTCATTATCCCACCTATTTTTTAGCGGATAATATGAGTGGTTAATTGTTTTCTTTTAACCATTTTGCCATCCCTATACTGGATAGTTTAATCTTACGTTTAAAAGTTAAAAGTAAAAGTACATATCACATAATCATGCTCAAGTAATAAACATGTATAATGGTATGTGTCTTGGATACATTTAACTAAATTTTTGGCGAAACGATGTTCGATAACACCATTTGGGTGAAGCTGTTGGAAGTCTCCCCCACTGCATTCTATAGAATATGAACTCGTATGTAGTTCACAATCTAAAGCCATGATGTTCAAAAGAGAACAAGATTTGATTGGGTAACAAGAATTCTACTTGACTACCATGCTAAGTGCCATTAAAGAAGGGTAATACATTAAGTCAACTATAAAATAATAAGTCAGCCTTAGAAATTATGCTCCAATATTTTAAAGGACATGCACTGCTATTACTTAATGAGACTATGATAGGCGGCAAGAAGACAAGTTATTTGCATAAACCTCCCACCCTCTTTTACCATCCAATCAAATCAGTAGCAAAAATATTCAACATTTACATACATTTATTTATATTTTTAAGGGAAAGAAAAGTAACTAAAATGGATAATGTACTACTAGCAATTAGTATAACCGATACATTCCGGTTGCAAGTACTTTACTAGGTAGTAAAACTATATAAACCAAACCAGGATTATAAATTAAGTGCTTTTAATTTGGGAAGATTTAGTGAGGAACTAGTATACATTTAGTGAGGGACTAGTAAAAATTGAAACTCAAAGGGCACTAGGTTGGCCTTGCTTCACATATGATGGATGACTTGGTACCTACGTGTGAGTTTCAAGTATGACCGAGTCAAATGGTTTAATTTATTTTCATCTCACCGCTTATTTTGCCTTTTTTTAAAATCTTAATTTTCACATTTTTTTAATTTAGTTTTATTTTTAGTTTTGGATGGACACATGTTTGCACATGCATTAACAAGACATTTCCACGCTTCCTACACGGGAAGCTTCAAAAATAAAAGATACTATAGACATAAAAAGATAATTGTTATGAAATAAATATTATAATTATAAACTAAAGCACTAAAAGAGAAGAGACAAAAATAGATAAGCAATGTAGAGAGGAGGAGGGAACTCTTCTTCTTATTTCAAGTATGTCACCCATGAGCCAAAAGTGCTCTATTTATAGTTACACAGGTTCATCCTCAAAAACAAAGAATGAAGTTACATATTAAATAGATTTATATGAATATAAGTGATTCTTGTATGTGATGTAAGAATTAAATGGACAACCACTTTAGTTCATTGTATTTATAACACTCCCCCTTGGATGTCCATTTAGAAGATAAGGTGCCTCGTTAAAACCTTACTAGGAAAAAATCTTAGTGAAGGAAAAAGAGTACACATATATTGTAATACGCATTACTTACTGCCTCATTAAACAGGAAAACCCAATTGGGACAAAACCTTGGTTAAGGGAAAAAGAGTAGTACAACGCGTGTTATACTCCCCCTGATGAAAGCTTTATTTGATATCTCGGAGACGACGCATTCCAATCTTATGTCTCAGCTTATCAAATGTTGATGTTGGCGATGCCTTAGTGAATAAATCTGCTAGATTGTCACTTGAACAGATTTGTTGAACATTTATCTCACCATTTTGCTGAAGATCGTGTGTGCAAAAAGAACTTTGGTGAATTGTGCTTTGTTCTGTCTCCTTTGATATCTCCTCCTTTAAGTTGAGCTATGCAAGCAGCATTATCTTCATACAATATCGTTGGAATCATCGTTTTTAAAGAAAAACCATACAGTTGTTGAATATGTTGAGTCACTGATCTCAACCATACACATTTTCGACTAGCTTCAAAAATAGCTATTATCTCTACATGATTAGAAGATGTAGCAGCGAAAGTTTGTTTTGTTGAGCGTCATGAAATAGTTGTACCCCCACAAGTAAATAGATAGCCTGTTTGAGATCAGGCTTTATGTGCGTCAGACAAATAACATGCATCTGCATAACCAATCAACTGTGAATCGGATTCATAAGAGTAAACTAATCACATATCAATAGTCCATCGGAGGTATCTAAAAATGTGCTTAACGTCGTTCCAGTGTCTTGTTGTTGGAAAGGAACTAAATCTTGCTAATAAACTTACTGCAAAAGTTATATCTGGTCGAGTATTATTTGCAAGATACATTAGTGCCCCAATTGCACTAAGATATGGAGTTTCATCACCAAGAAGCTCTCCATAATTTTTATGAGGTCGGAATGGATCTTTATTTATATCAAGTGATCTCACAATCATCGGGGTACTTAATTGATGTGCTTTATCCATATAAAAACGCTTTAGGATCTTTTTGGTAAGTTGATTGATGGACAAAAATTCCATCTTTCATATGCTCAATTTGTAGACCAAGACAAAATTTTGTCTTTCTAAGATCTTTCATTTCAAACTCTTTCTTCAAACAGTCTACTGCTTTTGGAAGTTCCTCAGGAGTTCCAATGATATTTAGATCATCAACATACACAGCGAATATAACAAATTTAGATCCAGACCTTCTTATAAATACACAAGGACAAATTGGATCATTCTTATACCCTTCATTCAGCAAATACTCGCTCAGTCGATTATACCACATTCGCCCTGATTGTTTCAATCCATATAAGGATTTTTTAAGCTTTATTGAACAAGTTTCCCGAAAACTTTTATTAGTTTCAGGAACTTTAAGCCCTTCAAGGATTTTCATATAAATTTTGTTGTCTAATGTGCCATACAAATAGGCTGTGACAAACCATTAAACGCATATCAAGTTTTTCATGGACTGCCAAATTTATAATGTGAAAGTGATTGCATCCACCACGGGAGAATATGTCTTCATATAATCAATGCTAGGTCTTTACGAAAATCCTTGTGCCACAAGTCGTGCTTTATATCTAACGCCTTCATTTTTATCATTTCATTTTCGCACAAAAACCCATTTGTATCCCACTGGCTTTATTCCTTCAAGTGTTCGGACTATACGTCCGAATACTTCACGTTTTTCAAGTGACGCTAATCTGCCTGGATAGTGTCTTTTCATTTTGGCCAATCATTTCTCTGTCTACATTCATCGACAGATCTTGGTTCAAGATCCTCATTTTGTTACATTATTTCAACGACAACATTATAAGCAAAAATGTTGTCGACAATAATATTATTTCGGTTTCACCTCTTTGCCGTAGAGACATAACTTATTGAGATCTCTTCATTCTTATTATTTTCAGGTACCTGGATCTCCTCTGAGGTCTTATCATTTGTGTCACGGGGCTCTTTTTGATCAATTGACTCCATATTATGATCTCCTAGATCATTTGCTCCTTTTTACTTTCGAGGATTTTTATCTTTGGAACCAATTGGTATACCACGTTTCAAGCGTGGCTTAGACTTATTTGTATTTATAAATTGTCCAACCGGGACATCAATTTGAATAGGAGCATTAGCAGCTGGAATATGTGACTTAGTCACCCTTGGTAGGTTAGTGAATGCATCTGGCAATTGATTTGCAATATTTTGCAAATAAATTATCTTTTGAACCTCGTGTTCACATTGCTTTGTTCGAGGACCTAAATGAGATAGTCATAATGTATTCCAATCTATCTCCTTTTGCAATTGCTTCTTTTCTCCCCCTAATATTAGGTATACTAATTCATCAAAATGGCAATCAACAAATCTTGCCGTAAACAAAATCTCTAGTCATAGGTTCCAGATATTTTATAATAGAAGGAGATTTATACCCAACATATATCCCCAATCTTCTTTGGGTTCCCATCTTTGTGTGTTGTGGTGGAGCAATTGGAACATATACTGCACATCCAAATATTCTAAGATGTGAAATATTTGGCTCCTGACCAAAAGCCAATCGTATTGGGGAGACTTTACGATAACTTGTTGGTCTGATCCACACAAGAGCTACTGCATGCAAAATAGCATGGCTTCATGCTGAAATAGGAAGTTTTGTTCTCATAAACATTGGTGTAGCAATTAATTGGAAGCGTTTGATCAATGATTCAGCTAGACCATTTTGAGTATGAACATGTGCAACTAGGTGCTCAATTGTTATCCCAGTTGATATGCAATAATCATTAAAGGCCTGGGACGTAAATTCACCAGCATTATCAAGACGAAGTGTCTTAATTGCATAATATGGAATGTGCTCTTAATCTTATTAATTGAGCTAGTAACCTCGCAAAGGCCAAATTGCGGGTTGATAACAAGCACACATGTGATCATCTTGTAGATGCAACTATCAAAATCATATAATATCTGAATGGTCCACATGGAGGGTGTATAGGCCCACATATATCACCCTGTATACGTTCCAAAAATGCAGGAGATTCAACTCCAACTTTAATTACTGATGGTCTAATAATCAGTTTTCCTTGAGAACATGCAGCACAAGAGAATTCTTTAGTTTGAAGAATCTTCTGGTTCTTCAATGAATGACCATGTGAATTCTCAATTATTTTGCGCATCATATTATAACCGGGATGCCCCAACCGGTCATGCCAAATAATAAAATCATTAGTAAACTCCTTGTTTATTATGGCATGTGATTCAACTACACTAATATTAGTGTAGTATAATCCGGAAAAAAATGCGGGAAGCTTTTCAAACACATACTTCTTTTCCGTTTTTATTATAGTAGTATAAAGGTATGCAACCTTTCCTTCATTGGTGTTCTCAATATGATAGCCATTTTGGCAAATATCTTTGAAACTCAATAATTTTCTTTGAGACCTACTACAATATAATGCATCATTAACGGCCAATATAGTTCCTCCTGGTAGTAATACAGTCGCTCTTCCAGAGCCCTCAATTAATTTTGTACTACCAGATATTGTTATGATATTGGCTTCTTTCATAATTAAATAAGAGAAACATCTCTTATCTTTAATATGGTGTGCGTCGTAGCACTATCCACAAGACATATTTCTTCTTATTATTCATACGGCCAACTAAAGACTTGGAAGTTTTCATATTCTTCAAGAAGAAGAAAACATACATCATACGTAATATTGAAAAATTTAAGAACAAAAGAAACTACATTTCTGAAATTAAATACTGACAACATAACAAGTTTTATTCAAAATATGAACTTCATAAAAAGAAATACGTTTATTCTTATAATTTTTCCCAATAATAAGTCTTCAGTTATGTTGCTCAAATAAGTCTCTAACTTCTAAATGAGTAATATCTGCAAGGCCTTCAAAAATATCATCTTTATAGGCAAGGTTTGCTTCAACTTTATCATGATCATTCATAGGACTCGCCTCAACATCATTTTGAAAAGTCAAGTGAGTCTCAACTTTATTTTATTTCCATTTTATAGATGCTTGATAAAGTTTGACAAAATATTCAGGTGTACGATAAATTCGTGCCCAATGATTTTTCATAAACATCGGTGGCAAACATTACCTTTGCCTTTTGAAGGATTATTCTGAGAACCCTTATTGTTCTCTTGTTTATAACGACCACCACCGTGGTGATTCTTATTTCTTCCCTTGCCACGCCCACGTATATTTATACGGCCACGGTAATTATTTTGTCTTTTTTCAGACTTTGGATCTATCGTTCCCAAATTCACTTCTGGAAATGGAGCTGATCCAGTGGGGCGAGATTCATGATTTTTCATTAAAAGGGCATTATGTTGTTCAACCACCAAAAGGCATGAAATTAACTCAGAATATTTCTTAAAGCCCTTTTCACGGTATTGCTGCTGTAACACCATATTTGAGGCATCAAAAGTGGAAAGTCTTTTCCAGCATGTCCTCATCATTCATAGGTTTCCCACATAATTTTAGTTGGAAAATTATTCTATATACAGCAGAATTATATTCACTTATGGTCTTATAATCTTGTAGCCTTAAGTGCATCCACTCACGACGAGCTATTGGCAATATCGTGGCCTTTAGCTGATCATATCGTTCCTTCTAACTAGTCCATAATTGAAATGGATCTTTCAAGGTTAAATATTTACTTTTTAACCCTTCATCGAGATGATGACGAAGGAAAATCATGGCTTTTGCCATATCCTGACTAGATGCTTAATTTTCTTCTTTAATAGTGTCACCAAGACCTTTAGCGTCAAGGTGAATTTCAGCATCAAGTACCCATGGCAAATAGTTATTCCCAGACATGTCAAGTGCCATAAATTCAAGCTTTGACAAATTCGACATAGTGAAAACTATCATAGAAATAAGTGAATTAGAATGATAAGAATTATTATCAATGAAAAATTCAGTGCAGTACATAATCGTGTATTAATATTCTATATGTATAATTATCAAACAAACAATTATGTGTAGTGCGATGATAAATTAGTGTTTAATATTACCCACAAAAACTTTAGACATGTAAGTATATTTTCATAAAATAAATAAGTTGAATTAATATGTACTAGTATAATTTTGTTTACTTAGAATACGTTTCAATAAGCTAAGTAGGCATAAAACTAGATGATATCAATTCTGACAAGTTCCAACATTCAATACGATTCATCTAATAGTTAAGTCGTTAATTTTAAAGCCATTAATTAGTTTGTACACTTAGGTGATAAATTTATTGAAGACACATAAACCTTTTGAAAATTTTGCAAGAATTCCTTCTAAATGCATATTCTGTTAGAATATTTGGATGTGGGCTTAATTAGTCGAATTATTATAATTCAATTTAATACTTATTTATTATGTGTAGGATTAAACTTCTTCGTAGTTTATATAACGAAATAACAATTTAACCGAAACTTATTGTTTTCATACCAATGCAATTGTTATAATCATATTCAAAATAAGTTATGCATATGGTAATTAAATTGCAGGTTCAAGATCCTAATAGAAATGTTATAAACATAGGAATGTATACCTGAATCGAAAAAAAACTGACTACCTCTTTTAGGAAGAAGATAAAATTCGGATGAAGGAGATAACCTCAGTTGGTTAGAACCTCATGCTGATAACGTGTTATGAAATAAATATTATAATTATAAACTAAATACCAAAAGAGAAGAGACAAGAATAGGTAAGAAATGTAGAGAGGAGGAAACACTTCTTCTTGTTTCAAGTATGTCAGCCATGAGCCAAAAGTGCTCTATTTATAGTTACACAGGTTCATCCTCAAAATTAAAGAATAAAGTTACATATTAAATAAATACATATGAATATAAGTGATTCATGTATGTGATTTAAGAATTAAATGGACAACCACTTTAGTTCATTGTATTTATAACAAAATAATGATATCCATCGCAAAGTCCCGATTATACTCATTAGACGTGCGAGTAAGTCGTGTCTTAAATTGTTATTTAGCCTTTAAGCGATTGGATGTTCACTTAGACCTAACTATTGCATGTAGTTCTTCAGAACCAAATTAACTGAAGTATTTAAGAAAGATAAGCTGCTAAACCGCCAACAAGTGGTACTCATGTGATCCTAAAAAAAAATTAATAAAAAGTTTTATCGAATAATTATACTTATATTAAAGAATATAGTCTTTCAACTCCTTTTTCAATCTTTTCCAAGTTCTTTCATGTTCTTTATAATTTAGATATTCTCAAAGATGAGATTATTACTTATGATGAAACTTTACGTCTATCAAAAGGCTTTATCATAAATAGGTTGTTTGTCCTCACTTATGTAGTACAAAAATTAAAATATGCGTATGACTAACACTATTTGACTCCAAAGAATAACACAATCACAGCTTTTGGCATCTCCAATTTTAAATGGAATATCATGTCACTCTTCTTTTCGAAGCATCATTCAAAAGTTTGAGAGCTTGATAGTGAATGTGAACTATTTGCCACGGATACAAGAGAAAACCCTTATACAATTGTAGATGGGCCCAAGAGGCAAGTTTCTCTACAACATCAAGAAAACACAACCACAGATAACAGAGGGGAGAGAGGAGGCAACAAGAATATAACGTGGAGGCAAAATTCAGAGGTTGAGAGTATTCCACAACAGGAACACAACACCCATGGGGAAAATATCTTCTTTTTTCTTTTTTGGTGGGGCCACACAAATGCAGGCCCGGTCAGCAATAACTACGACGTAGGCACAACCACTTGGACTGACCTTAGGCGGCCACCCTTTCAAAGTGCAATGAAAGTCACCAACCTAGGCCATGGGCCTTCTTAATCGCCCATTGACCCCATATGATCTGTTCAAATCAGCCATTTCTTTAGCAGGCACGTCGATAATTTCCACTTCCAAATTTGAGATGAAATCAGCACATCCATTTCTCCACCACAGAGTATGCTAAATGGCAGTGTTCTTTATCTGCAGAAGGAATATATAGTCTTTCCAGTGCTCAAGAAACATATTGCAAATCTGCTGCGGGGAAGAGGTGAATTCTACCAGAAAGAACAAAAATATTGCTGATACTTTGGTTCTTTCTTTCCTAATGCAAATAGAATAATTCTTGATAAAAAGAAATTGACATGAAGAAAATTGAGATATGGCTCTTAAACATAGTTTTAATGCTTGTGCCTTATCTTTGACCTTTTTTTCAAGTGTTTGGAAAGTGGTTTTTCTCTAAAAAGTTTATGTTGGAGATTCACAAAGTAGAAGTACCACCTTAGCATAATTAGCAAAGACGAAAGCTTTTCCAATTTATCAAATTAGTTGAGCTCTCGAGTATTTGGCCAACTGTTGGCGACATCACAAACAGGAGTGACAATTTCCACAAAAAATGTGCGTAGCACGCAATATATGTTCCCCTCAGGTGCCAAGATTGGGTGCTGGTGTTGCAATAGGAGGGCCATGAGAATATCTCCACTCTCCACAGGCTGTGCAGTGATCCGACTTCAGACTGTTATCCAGCGTACAGAGCTTGCATGACCACATACTATTTCTGTCATCCACATCTTTGGGCTTTTGGTTTTGACAAAGCTTACATACAGGAGCCAATGGCTGCACATATTGTTGGTGAAAAAATGGGAGGATGTCAACTCCAGGAAGTAACAGAAAATTGTAGAAACTGATTGAAACACCTAACATATAAAGTAAAAACGGAAGTGCACAACCTTTGAGAAAACAAAGTTTTTACATATTCTGCCACTAAACAGGAGAAATAAGACATTAGCAATTTCACAAACTTATAACCGAATTAAACAACAGTAATTGAAATAAACAAGAAGTCAACAACCATCAAGCTTTTTCCACTTTTATGCACTTCAAATTTAAATACTTATTCAGAATGAAATACTTATTTGTTTGACACTTCAAAAAAATTACATCAGCACTGATATATTCGTAATGCCTCAACCAACAACAACAACAAAACAGTATAATCCCACTAGTGGAGTATGGAGAGGGTAGTGTGTACGCAGACCTTACCCCTACCCTGGGGTAGAGAGGCTGTTTTCGATAGACCCTCGGCATCCCTCCCTCCAAGAACTCCCCACCTTGCTCTTGAGGTGACTCGAACTCACAACCTCTTGGTTGGAAGTGGAGGGTGCTTACCACCAGAGCAACCCACTCTTGCCTCAACCACATATTCAGAATTAAAAGTCACCAAGATTAGAAGTCTCCTCAAATGCCAGTGCAACTCATGCTTTCATTGATTGTTACTGTAACTTGATCTTAACTGTAAACCTATGACTATTGTGCTTGTGCAAGAAAGCTACAGTTAAGCATATTTTATCTAGACAACTTCCAGAAGCGCAAATTCATCTAGAACAAAAAAGTTAATGCTTATTGAAAGAAAACTAAGAGAAAGAGCTCAAATTAAACTAGAAAGAGAGAATCATACTGGGTTCAAGAACGTGCACATTAAACACTCCCACATCATTGGTTCCTCGGGACCGTGTAAGTCATCATGGCCATGCATGGATGTAGAACTTGAAGCATTTCCACTTAAATCAACAAAGGACTCTGGATAACCCCTTGATGGCACGGTATGAGAAGTCCCTTCTGCCCGACCAACTTTGCGAGCAATTTCTTTGTCGTGGTTAGGCAGGGGCTTAGTGCCTTGCAAGGACCTTGAGGATGATATAGAATTCGATTCTCGACTTCTTTTACGAGATGTTACCTTGGAAGGCAGTGCATCAAACCCATTAGGAGTCTCGGGTCTATCAGAAGTATGCTGTGGTGGCAAAGGCTCAGGCAATGAATCAGAATTTTCATCTATGTCAGATAAGTCACATGATTCAGAGCCACACCAAATATTATCCTGTAATCTCCTTTCTGCAGCCATTGCTGCAGCTTGAATTGGAGTAAGTGCAGACTTGATAGAACGGTCACCACCTAGACGTCTAGGCCCAGATGGTAGCAATGACTTAAGACGTGCTCTATTTTCAGCAGCAGCAGCTGCAGTTTGGCGGAGAGATGATATAGATGGCTGTGGGAAAAGGCCCCCTAATCGTATTCCAGGGAGATCAAACCCTTCTCCTGTGCCACTTATCCCTTTAGTCATTAAATCTTCACATTCCTATTCATAAAGAATACCATGAATATTCATGGACGCAAAGGAAAATAAGCCAAAATTACACAAAAAGAAAGCAGCATAAGTACTATGTTTTAGATAAGTCAAAATAAACATGCATTTTTTCCATTAAAGATGTACTTGTATTAAAAGGCAGAAGCTTTCATCATCAAAGCCTCAATTGCCAGGGGCCAGGAGCAAAGTCTGAACGCTGATGCTTCTTCTACTTTATGTCATAATTGCACTAGATAATGCTTATTGCAATATTCTTTGATGATAATTGCTAGATAAAGAATACCATTAGTATAACATATAATAGTACCTCAGTTGGTATTGTATCCATAGGATTAAAAAATTTGTATGTCAGTATTATATGCATTTCCGAAACTATACCCACAGATGTAACCATTCTACATAGGGAAAGAGAAAAGGCAGACGATGAACATAACCAGGCAGCAACCTTTTTCTGTTATAGTCAGGTTACAGTTATTGTGCCGTTTGATAGTATGGATGATAAAATGTCTCAGGAGGCAGCTTCATGATATTTATTACTACCAAGATTCAAAAAGATTCTATCCTATGTGAAAGTTAACAAAGAAGGGACTGCATACTTCGGAACGAATTTAAATTTGGTTTTGCAAAAAAAAAAGGGCATAGATGTATCATAGTTTTTTACTTTTTCGCCCTCTATTCAAAGCACTGGAATATTCAAATACATTATCTGAAGAGGAAAATCAAATAAATTTTGTTAGATGTTCAATAACTTCAAAAGGTAGATTACAACCTCGAGTAACCAAAGTAAGATCATGTTTTCCAGAGTCTCATCAGGCTAAATCCAGTCCTTAAAAACCTAAACCAGAGTTAACTGATACAATTTTCAGGAATTTAAACTAACAGTACTTACATATATTATGAATACAATGAACTCAAATAAAAGAAAACAACAAGAAAAAACATATGCGAAGTTTGCAAGAAGCATATGTTATTAATTTTGAACCACAACTCACTCATAATCTAAGCACTAAATTGGACAAAACAAGGGCTAAATGGCTAATTTAACTTGTAATAGTTGGCCATTCTCATCATAAAACAGAAGATAGGAACTCTATTGGCCATGACCTCGACAAGCATTTGAGCAGGGGCCGAGCTAATAGAGCCATGGGGGTTTAATTGAACCCACTTCTGCAAATTATACTACATAAAATGAGTGAATAATATATTTGTTAAATATATATTTTTGAATCCTCATGAAGGGAAGGTTCTACTGTAGTAGCAAAGGGGGTTAAATAATTACTTTAGGTTACAGGTTCAAATCCCAACTGTGACAATTAGCATTTGTTTTTTGAATCCCCTTGCATAAATTCTTGGCTCCACTACTGCATTTAGGAATAAAACTGGTGCTCCACATTTAACATTGGTTACATAGGAGGATTCAACAAAAGCTTTAGCAAAAATTTAGAATGCTGTGCTTAGGGAAAAAAAACAACTCCAAACCCAACCATGCTTATTTTGCATTTAATTTACCTTTCTAATTTCATCCCAGAGCCTGTAGAAACTGGCATTGTGCGGACCATGAGTATTATGGCAAAGCTCGTGAAGCATAGTATCCAGAACTTCATTGTATGGGTAAAATTGCTCATCATTGTTGGGCCTTCGAAGCCTTAGCTTTACATGTATACCCGCTCCTACATTTAACCCCAATAGCGCTGGTCTTTTAGGGCTGTAACATTCACAACCAACATGTGGTAAAAGAATTTTAGTACCAGACAACACAGAAATATACTACTAATAGTAAAGTGCTTATTGTTATTATTACCAGAATTCAGATAGAAGTTTGACTCTCCAATTATGCTTACGCATAATGGGCTGAACCTGTTTAGCAATTCTCTCAAGAATCTTGGTGGCCTCTTCATGTTTGGGCTTTCGCTTCAGAGCTTTGATTTCCCACACCTTGTTTAGATCCCCCAAATTCATGTTTTTTCCCCTAAAGCAAACCCTAGAATCTGATGCTAAAAGCGATATCTTTTATGATCGGGCCGGAATCAAAACAATTAAAGAAGTAGTCTCTGCTTGGGATTGATATCTTAATTTTATGGATACACATAGTGGAACGAGGAAACGATGAGACGCCGAGGATTCGGAAATCGAATGTTTGCTCCGCTATGATATTGGCGGGATTTTAAAGAGACTTTGGCGGCATTTGCATCTATAACCGTTTTCTGTGTTACGTTTTAATTTGTGCCCGCTTTGCAAAAAAAATTGCAAGTGTAGCGACTTTTTCGCATAACTTCAGCATACGGGGCTGAAGTAGCAAAGGCAATCACGCAAAACTTCAGCATTCTAGTAGTCGGGCCTAAGTTCAGCTGAGTTTTTATTTTGTAACTGGCGAACTTCAGCTGAAGTTTTTGTTTGTAATTGGCAAACTAAACCCTTGAGTATGTACTGCTGAAGTTTCTATTTCAAAACTTCAGCTCGAGGAACGCACTATGGTTCTGCTTGACCATAGCATCTCGACGATGGAGACGCACTATGGTTCTGCTTGAATTTGCTCTATTTTGTTTCGTATCTGACAATCCATTTATTTGGTATTCCAAAACATAAAGATGAATGCTTGTTAGCATCACATCATTCAGTCATTAAAACCTTATATATATATATATGTAAAACAAAAAAGGATCTTCTTCCTGGTGGGAATTATGTACAGGCCAGCGTTATTCATTACTTTTGTGAAATATCTCAGAAATTAAAAGTTACAGCTTTTGTTATCAAAGCAAGAAAGTGACGGACAAATGCTTATATAAAATGCTCAAGTAATGAAAACCACTGAGGTTCAATTCGTGAAAACCAGTGATATGGAGATCACTGGGAGGAGGAGGAGAAAGGGGGCCGAAGTTATTTAAAAAGTGGGTACAAGTTAAAAAAATTTTAAAAAATGGGTATAGGTTAAATGGGGGCGATCAAATAGGGCTCCCCGTGCAATTTTTATAGATCTGAGGTGTTAGTTTGGGACGGAATGGGCACGAGCCCGTTTGGACATCTGTTTTGGGTCCATTAAGAGCCGGTTTGGCTTTTAGCTGATTTATGCATCATTTATTTGCACTTAATGGAGGTCTGAATCTCGATTCTATTAGGATACGTAGGCTACCTAAGTCAGGCTCGGTCATTTCATTTCATTATTTTATATCCTCCAACTACCTTTAGACCCGATTTCCTTTGAATATGTAGGCAACCTGAAAGGGTTCGATCATCATCTTAGGAAAAGCCTTTGTAATGCATTACCTAGATTAGGAAGTAATCGCATCAGCAGGAAGCTACGTCGTCAGGAAGCATATCAAGGAAAGCACCATCAGCAAGGCGAGGCCATCTAGAAATGATACTCGCATCGGAGGAAACGTCTAAACATGTCATAATCCGGAACGACGGCGTTTGTCATAAACATAAATAACTTTTCAAAACAACTTTTAAGAAAATTATACTTTTTCCACCTACCCAATTTCCCGGCATAACCCACTAGACTTGGGGCAAGGGCAGGTCCACAATCAACACAAATGCTCCTCCCCTACAAAGAATTTTTCTTTGAGCGCATGATTGATAGGAACCAAAGGGCGCCAGATCACACCGGAGTCAACGCCAGACCCAATACAACCTCATGAGCCCATATTCCACCTTTATCGTCCGATTCAATTTCTCATATAGTTATGGTCCAACTTTGAATTCTTTTCAGGTATCCCGGAGCGAAGCCTCAGGCACAACTGGAGCTTTGTACATATCAAACTGTCTGCTCTGTCAATTGGAGCGCTTTGTACATATCAAACCGTCTGCTCTGCCAGTCGAAGCACCTTGTACATACCAAATCGTCTGCCCAGCCAATTGGAGCACTTTGTACAGATTGCAATGTCACACCGCCCAATCAGAGATCCAAAGTAGATCGTTGCAAACCTCGTCGCCAACTTCGCCAATCAATGGATGGATCATTCACTTTGGCCACACGTTCCACTAATCGACGGCCGCAAATTAGTTCAGCAGTCGAGAGTACCTCTTGGGCATGCATTTATTTTCTACTTTTACCTTGAATGTTTTAACGTTTTATTTTTGCAGCTTATAAGCATTTTTACATTTTGGTTCAAGTTCAAATACTCCTATCGCACGAAGGTTCAAATTCAAATTTATATACTCTAATCGTGTGGAGATTTAAATTCAAATTCAAATGCTCCCATCGCGTAGAGATTCAAATTCAAAGTCAAATATTCCGATCTCGAGGAAATTAAAAGTCGAATACTCCCGTCGCTTGGAGATTCAAATGTTCCCACAACTAAGGAATGGTACATAGCCCGACTAACATTCAAGTTAGATTCAAACACCCATCCCCGTCATCACAAATAATGCTCCAGAGCTCGAAGGTTCCAGATTCAAATATCCTATCGCCCAAAGACCCCAAATAACGGCTAGCCAGCAGTCAGGCATTGTTATTCATGCACATTTACATTATATCCTAACGTATTTGCATTATGATATATGGGTATGTGTGTATTTTACTTTTTGCAGGATTCAAACATTACAATGTGGAACTTCCTCTAAGTAGCAAATCAGGTTACACTGCTATAACCGACAACAGACTCATCCAAGGATCCAACTTCCAACTCAAATCGATAAGTAGAACTCCAAAATTGTTAAATCTCTCAAATCTTGTAATCAAGCTACAATTCAGAAGTCATTGGGCTCCAAACTCTTCCCGTTTTGCAGTATCATCATAACATGATACTGGACAATTCCTATAAGCACAACTCCCTCCGAATTACCATCCAAAACGACATGAGGCCTAATCCTCGTTAAGACCGAGGTATATAGGCGATTCAAAGCCAGAATTCTGCCATAATCTCATAAGTCATGATCTTTCACAATTCCAAACATCATTACCGCAATACATGCCTAAAGTCGGGACAAAATTCGTCATTAAGTCAATTTCTTTGCCGCAAACTCTTTTATCGTCTTCGGTCAAAGAAGGGCAGTTGTTGACAACCAATTTTGACCGTCCCCTTTTAAATCAAGTTGCTTACACTTATTAATCAACAATAAATGCAGTAAAGTATTTTTAAATTAATATTAACTATTTTCTCAAAATGTAAATGATATAATACATATAATAGTTAGCAATATTAAATGAATAGTAATTTAGTCTTAAGTATTTATAAATTATACTACTCCTACTACTTTTATTAATTAAAATAACTTTCATATTTTAATAAACAAGTATTAGAATTAATTTAATAATTTATTCTCAAATTTATAATTGCTTTAATTAACCAAAATGAGTTTCTACAAATTAATAGATGAAGTATTTTAATTAATTTTGGCAACCAATTAATTACAGTAACTAATTAATAATATATTTGATAATTATATTTAATTACATTTCCGTCACTACCTCAAATTCCAACATTAGGATGTCGTGATGGCGCCTAGTCTCTAAGACTAAGTAAGCCTAACATACATTGAGATTTTAACAGATTTAACGAATAAGATATAAAATTAAACTGACCTATCAAAATAAAACCCAAATGGTAGAACAGTCAAATGATTCCCAAAATCGGTGGAACTGAGTCATAAGCTTTACTGAAAAATGCACTAGAAATCACTAAGTACAACTCTGTTTGAAATAAAGATAAACAGTAGTAAGGAAATAGAAGAGGTGACTCCGAGGCCTGCGAGTATCAAACATGTATACCTTGAAGTCTCCGGAATATCTGGTCAAATCACAGGCGTCCGACACGAGCAGAAGTACCTGTAATCTATACAAAAATATGCAGAAGAGTAGCATGAGTATAACACAATGATACCCAGTAATTATCAAGCCTAACCTCGATAGAGTAGTGACGAGCTCAGGTCAACACCTAGTAGACAAAAGAAATCTAAACAGAATATGGTATAATCTAAAAACGGAAAGCAAGGAAATAGATGACAACAGAACAGTACGATGATATAAGGCTAACAACATAACTTAGAGCAAATAAAGGACAACAAAGAAGGAATATATGATAAGAGTAACAAGTGATCAAATACAATTGAAATACAAGTAAGACGAATGAAGAAATAACAATAATCGTTCAAATCATCAAGCCTTTTCAACATAGAATGTACAACAAGAATCACAACTGAGGTACCACACCTTATATTCGCATTTCACAATTTATGCACCTCATAAACATTGTATTTTAGCCATATCTTGATTTATTCATCATTGTGTTTTTGACGACATCTTGGTGTACTCCCGTAGTTGGGAAGATCATGAGCAACATTTGAGGATTGTGTTTCAGACCTTGAGAGAAAAGAAGTTGTATGCAAAATTCTCAATGTGTGAATTTTGGCTTGATTCAGTGGCGTTTTTGGGTTATGTGGTGTCAAGTGAGTGGATCAAGGTATATCCGAAGAAGACTAAAGCAGTGAAGTGTTGGCCCAAACCGTCTTCAGCTACTGAGATCCGGAGTTTTCTTGGTTTGGTCAGGTATTACCATCGTTGCATAGAGGGTTTCTCATCTATTGTTGCACCTATGACTAGATTGACCCAAAAGAGTGATCCTTTTAGATGGTACGAGGAGTATGAGGAGAGCGTTCAAAAGCTCAAGACTTCTTTGACTACAACCCCAGTGTTAGTACTGCCTACATATTCGGGGTCTTATATCGTGTACTGTGATGCATCACGTATTGGTCTTGGCGTGTTGTTGATTCAAGACGGTAGGGTGATTTCCTACTCGTCTAGGCAACTGAAGGTTTATGAGAAGAATTATCATGTTCACGACTTGGAGTTGGCAGCTATTGTTCATGCCTTAATGATTTAGCGGCACTATTTGTACGATATCCCTTGTGAGGTTTATACCGACCATTGGAGTCTCCAGTATCCATTCAAATAGAAAGATCTTAATTTGCGATAGCGAAGGTGGTTAGAGTTGCTTAAAGACTATGATATCAATATTCTATATCATCCCTGGAAGGCCAATGTGGTGGCCGACGCCTTGAGTCAAAAGGTAGAGAGTATGGACAGTTTGACATATCTACCGACAGCGGAGAAGCCATTAGCATTGGATGTTCGGGCCTTCGCCAACCAGATTGTTAGATTTGATGTTCGGAGCCCAGTCGAGTTCTTGCTTGCATGGTTTCTAGGT